TGCTAATCGTACGTTTCTATTTTTGGAGCTGAAGATGTAAACACAACTCCATTGTGTCATATACGACATGCTCCGACCACAGAGGGTTAAAATAGAGAAATGCCTTCAGAGTGGAGTGTTTTTATGGGCCAAGAATCACTGTCACAGACAACTGTGATTGCACAGAACTTCATAAGTTGTACAATAATGAAGCTCAGTACTGTATTTACTGATTTCTGACTAATTAATATTTTATATAAAAATGATGTTTTGGTCTTCCCTCTGGCTGCTATTTACGCCCCTGAAGTCCCAGCAAAAAGAAAAAAAATCTTGTGCAAACTGACATCATTATTTCACTGGCATAATCATCTAATCAAAAAAGCACAGATGAGCTGCTTATTAAAGGTCATTATTCATCACTGCCTACAACCACTAACTCCCCCCCCCCCCTACATTACTTCTTCATGTTCTCTACATTGACTGTCTATGTATTATCCCAATGAAAAAGCAATAGTTAATTGCTCTAGTAAAGTAATGACATAATGTTGATGTACACTGTAAGTCTTGCAACTGTGGATTGCATTTGTGCTACATTTTTGTCTGATGATGTCTAACATGTAGAGACTACAGTTACAGTTAGCAGGAACTGTATAACAGTGATTAAAGAATTACATATTAAAAAGTATGAAGTAATATATAACCTGAACAGGACAAATGCTATAGATCATGAATGATAATGAATAATAATATATTGGTTAGCAACTTCTAATTCACACACATATACTAGCTTCCTACATAAATCAAAATCATTTGCAATAATGCTGTTGATGTTTTTCTCTCACTCTTGAGAGGAGTGATTTGGGCTTATGTGCCAGTGCCATGGTGTTTACTCGTGTGCACAGCGGCTTAGGTTTATTATAAAAACTCACATTAACAGTTCAACTGTTCAAAGGAGGAGGGGATTGCTTAACTGGTTAGACATCCTGTTGTTGCAATTTGTCTTGGTTATCTGGTGTTTGAATATATATGCCTGGAATTTCAATGTGTTTCTTTTCTCAACAGGTGGAAAAAAGGTGAAAACATTTCACCTTTAAGTGCTACATTGAGTTTTTTTTTTTATTTGACTTTTTTATTGCAGCAACTTTCAATATATTTCCTTCCTTTATGCAAAGTGTCCAGACCAGCTGCATCCATGTCTTGGTTCTCTTGCCTCTTTACTCTGTGGCCCTCCTCATCCCCATTCCTGCTGCTTATGTGGCTTGGGGGCAGACAGCTGGGGCTCAGGGTTGGTCTGCAGGTTGTTCAGACACTGACTTGTTCTCGGTGGGGTACACCCAGCAATCAGGGTCTGTTCCAGGATGGAGATGTAGTCATCGGTGGGCTCTTCAGTCTCCATTACCAACCTCCAACTATAGAAAATGATTTCACTCAACTGCCACACTACAGACCTTGCACTGGGTAAAACTCTCAACTGTATTATTTACTGTGAAAACTGTGGTATGAGGATTTATTAGAGTATACTGTATATACTGTATGCTTGCATAATTTGTCTTTAAAATTGACTGAGCAATCGTGACTTACTAAAAAGAATCTCCATGACTGATGCTTATGTTACCCCTTCTCGTCTGTTATCTCAGTTTAGAGCATGTTCCATTGCAGTACATATATGCTATGGTGTTTGCAGTGGAGGAAATCAATAATAGCACAACACTGCTACAAGGTGTAAAGCTGGGATACAGCATTTTTGATAGCTGTGGCAGACCACCATGGGCTCTACAGGCAGCACTTTCACAGACTGGAGGAGACAGCACAAGCTGCATTTTAAATGATACTTCAGATTACTCTGCAATGTACAGAGAGGGATATGGAGAAAGAAGAGGTAGCTTGTTGTGTTTACATATCTCTTCCTGTAACAACTAAATCAAATGATGAAAACACAAAGCTTTTTTTAAAGAATGGCAACATATTGTGGTTCTCTAGTTGTCGCTTTACAAACCTCTAATTTTGCCTTTTAATGACGTCAACAGGTGATCATCCTGTTCCCTTGATCATTGGGGGTGCTTCATCTGTAACAGGCCAGATACTCTCCAGAATGCTTGGGCCACTGTCTGCACCTTTAGTAAATTTTGGTTTGGATACTGCATTAACACTGTTATCTGATCTCTTTATTTTCTGGTTACTTGTGCCCTCTTTTAATATCTTGAGACAAGGCACTGTTTGGTGTTACACTCTCTCACTCTCTCTCTCTCTGAAAGCTTGATTTACTCTATATTGAAAGTTTCCTCCTAGGCAGGAAATAAACTCAACAGCTTTACGAGATGAAGGAAAATGACAGACTGGAAATTCTAATCAGAATATCTTTGATTCAATGTTTCATAAAAGGCCCTTTGAGGATCTTTTCATTTGTGTATCTTTGGCAACCCCTGTGCACAAGGTGGTATATCTTATCTCTTTACTTATCTTGTTCTGGACATGCATAACATTTTTATTTTTATTTACTTTGACTGTATTTTAATAGTCAAAGTATCACTCAGCATGTTTGTCAGCTGTGGAAAATGTGAGAAATAGTCAGTTCATGCAAGACTGCTGTTAAATGCCTCGTCTCATACAGCTGTGGTTTCATTCATTTAACAAAACTGTAGCTTATAGAAATAGTCAGTCTTTATACAGATCGGTTTATTTTCTTTTTAGCTCTTGAAGCAGCATCAATATCAATTGGGATTTGTTTCCTTATCAGCTAAAAAACTCCTAACAGGCTCTTTAAATATAACTATGATTCAACTTTTTTTACTTTCAGATAAGCTACTTGGCAAGTTGCCCCTGTCTGAGTGATAGACTTCAGTTTCCTAATTTCTTCCGGACCATCCCTTCTGACATTTACCAAGCAAGAGCTATAGCACAGCTTGCCATTCGCTTCAACTGGAATTGGATTGGGGCAGTGGTAGCAAACAACGATTACGGACACATGGCAGTAAAGGTGTTTTGTTTCATAGATATTCTTAGCATGTCAGCGTTTCAAATATATATACAGTATACATCAATAATTCACTTTCTTGTTATTTTAAGTTATTTGAATAAGTTACATGCTTATTATACTTGTCTCTGTCAGGTATTTCAGGAGGAGACTCGGGGGAAAGAGGTGTGTCTGGCATTTGTAGAAACTCTCCAAAGAGACAAAATTGTGATTGATGCCAGACGAGCAGCACTCACGATTCAGGCCTCAACTGCCAGAGTGATTGTAGTCTTTTCCTGGTATACAGACGTGAGGGAACTATTCCTGCAACTAGCCAAGATTAATGTGAGTGACATTAACTAAAGTATACTGAATAAAAAATGCATAAGTGGGAAATATATATACTGTATAATGCCAGTGAAAGAGCGTGAGAGATTGTGACTTTCCTTTTTTATTTCCAGGTGACTGACAGACAGTTTTTGGCCAGTGAAGCTTGGAGCACCAGTAATGATCTTCTTCAAGATATGGTCACAAGAAAAGTGGCAAATGGTGTTCTTGGCGTTGCCATTCGAAGTTCAACTATGCCTGGATTTCAACAATATCTTTCGAGATTGAACCCAATAAGTCGTCCTGGGGATGACTTCTTAAGAGAATTCTGGGAAAAGGAGTTTGGTTGTAGTCTTGAAGCAGCAGATCAATCAGAGTCTCAAGCAAACAGGTTGCTAGTAAAGTATTCTCTTCCACCCTGCAGTGGTACAGAGTCCCTGGAGAGGATACGCCATCCTTTTACTGACATCTCTCAGCTGAGGGTGACTTATAATGTCTACCTTGCTGTTTATGCTGCAGCGCATGCCCTTCATAGCCTTCTCTCATGCCCTGATATGGACAGCTTAATAAAAACTAACACCTCCACCTGCTCTTCTTTAAAACTCATGAAACCCATTAAATCCATAGAGGTAAGCAACGCTATAGCCTTCCTCTGAGAAAGGGTCGTTACCCTTTAACAATTAATGCTTTTAAAATGAGATGACCAATTTTCATGAAAATGATGACTAAAAATGTAAATGCATTATTTAAAGAAGACTGTATTACCATTTGTATAATAATAATTTGATCATCTCCTAGGTTTTGCAGCACCTGGAGAATGTAAATTTCACCACACCACAGGGTGAACTATTTTATTTCGAAGGAGCAGATATTCCACCCAAGTATGACCTTGTCAACTGGCAGAAAACCACTGGGGGGTCACAAAAACTTGTCTTAATTGGTGGTGTGGATGGGTTTGACCTCCATCTTGACGACTCAGCTATTCAGTGGAGCACAGGATCTAATCAGGTTTAACGTGAAAATAATTTCCATTCAGATTTTTTACAAATTTCAATTCAATAAATTGTTGCTTTAGAAAACGTATATTAGTTCATTGAGAACATTAGTTGCCATATTGTTCAGGTGCCTATTTCAGTGTGCAATGAGAGCTGCCCCCCAGGTACCCGAAAGGCCAACAGGAAAGGTGAGCCTCTCTGCTGCTTTGACTGTATCCCATGTGCTGATGGGGAAATAAGCAATGAAACTGGTAAGGAAATTTAAATATCAAATATCAGATACCTGTGTCAAATAGCCTCCAAAATGCAGTAAAACTGCTTAAGCTCACTTGCACTTTCTCCCTCTTGGTGTTACTACTGTCTTGTCCCCTCTCTCTTCTTTTTTCTTTTACAGGTTCTCTTCATTGTGAGCGATGTCCATCTGAGTTCTGGTCCAATGACGAACGAACTGCCTGCATCCTTCGTCAGCTGGACTTCCTTTCCTTTAATGAAACATTGGGCATTACTCTGACAACAGTAGCTGCATCCGGTGTTGTGGTGACAACAGCTGTGTTTGTGGTATTTCTTTGCTACCACAAAACACCCATGGTAAGATCACAACTTCATGTAATGGAGAATACTTTGTATTTTCAATATCCTTAGTTGTTACAAATTAATCTCAACTCTCTTTTTTAGGTGCGAGCCAACAATTCAGAACTCAGCTTCCTGCTTCTTCTGTCCCTGAAGCTCTGCTTCCTGTGCTCACTGGTGTTCATTGGTCGTCCATCAATCTGGTCCTGTCGGTTCGGGCAGGCAGCATTTGGGATCAGCTTTGTTCTTTGTGTTTCCTGCCTCCAAGTCAAGACCATTGTTGTTTTGGCTGCATTCCGCTCAGCTCGGCCTGGTGCTGGAGCCTTGATTCGGTGGTTTGGTCCGAGCCAACAAAGAGGCAGTGTCTGCCTTCTTACTTGTATACAAGTAATTCAACTTAAACTGTTTATTCAATCTTTAAATTAAGCCCAGTATAGTACATGTTACATCAAATAAATTACTCTCTGTTTATATTTAGATTATCATCTGTACCACATGGTTGTCCATCAGTCCTCCAGTGCCTCGACGTGATCTGGGTTTCCAAGGATCAAAGGTCACGCTAGAGTGTGCCATGGCCTCTGTGGTGGGATTCTCTCTGGTTCTTGGCTACATTGGCCTGCTGGCCTGCACCTGCCTCCTCTTGGCTTTTCTCGCTCGTAAACTCCCTGACAACTTCAATGAGGCCAAACTGATCACCTTCAGTATGCTGATATTCTGTGCCGTGTGGGTAGCTTTTGTTCCTGCGTATGTAAGCTCTTCTGGAAAATACACTGTTGCTGTTGAGATATTTGCAATTTTGGCTTCTAGCTATGGTTTACTTTTATGTATTTTTACTCCAAAGTGTTTCATCATAGTTTTTAGGCCAGAGAAAAACACCAAGAAAAACCTAATGACCAGGTAGCACATATACATTATCCATGTTCTTAACTAAGCTAATAAAATGCTACAAATACACTTTACTGTAACTTTTATGGGTCCTATTAGTGATCCTCGTCTTTGAATATTTAACGATCATACGTCATTCAATTGAATATAAAAATATTAATAGAATTATATTATAATTATTAATTATTATAGAAATAAACAATAACTAAGTTACTAATTGCTAAAAGGATATCTGCTATTAATTGCCAGAAGGCTCTATCTGTTCTCTCAAAGCAAACTTTTTAGCTTATTTTGAAGGAAACACAAGACTCTTTTCCTTGATGAATACTTTGGACTGCTTTCCAATTTGTTGCATTGTCACTGCTTTGAATTTTTTTTCAGATGACACCTGTACAAACCTTATAGTGCTGTTTTAGCCCATTACTGTACATATAGATTGTTTTAGCTGCTTCCCATGCACTGGTGCCATCCCAGTTCTACACTTTACCAATGAGTGGCATGGCAAATGCATGTCCTGATTTTGAACAGTCCCTGTTCTGGTTTTAACCAACCAAAACAATACATGGTGCTTGCTACACTGATCTGTCTTTATGTCAATCAGTGTCGTTGCCAAGGCTGTTGCTGTTTTAACCAATAGAGAAACATCCCTAATGCACAACAAGTCTAGGTCCAAAACGGATTTTTCTGTACATGTGTCAATCAATCTCGGGGTTGTGGCTGTTGTTAAGCTAGCCTACCTTATCATTCAAACAGGACCTTCATAACAACAGGTGAGCTTGCTGTCATCCTGAAAAGATAGTCTGCGTTTTCCAAAGAGCTCCAGGAGAGTTATAGCTTCTTTGATCGAAGTGGTTTCGTTCTATTATGATATGGCACTAGCTAATGCCACATAGCCAGAATTTAGCATTGCATATATGTAAAACAAAAAGGAATCTCTGAAAACATGTAAGCTAATAGGTAACTACAGTATGATATGTTTGGCAAAGCAATTTGTTACTCAACATGTAGTGAACAACCAACACAAATAAATAATAATTCTTGGCCTCTGCTTCTTCTTCTGATTCTGACTCACTGGCTCAATAGAGTACACCTGATCAGTGCATGTGCAAAAACCTCCTGCTGTTAATTTTGGTATGCATGTTAACAGGTTGAAGTAGCCACACAGTCTGTTTGAACTGTGCTGTCCAGCCACAGTTCATGGGCTTCACGCTGTGAAAATGATCTGTTGTAATACTGCAAGAAGGTACTGATTTGCAGTGATTGCCAAATTTGAGAAGTTCAACACATCACGGTTAATCCATCTCTGCATTACTGTTTGATCATGCAAATTAAAAACCAACAGTGGCTAGAAAAGATATTGAATCATATTACCTGCAAATTATATTTTATTGTTTTTCACAGATCCAAAAATGAACACTCATATCACAAGTTGCAGCTGAACACCCACAATACATTTTGAAAATTATCATTTAAACTGGGTGATTTACTTCATTATTTCACAACTGTGTTATCTCAAAGTAAAAAGTGGTTGGTGGTCAAATGAATGGGTAAGATGACAATTAGTGTTTGATATGAAGGCAGCCCGATACCAGAAGGTATCATACCAGTTGGTAATCCTCACAAACGACTAGAACATTAACAAAAATAAAAAAATAAAAAAATATCCAACACATTGATGACATTCCAATTGTTGCTTTCATTTTTTTTAATCAATGGTTTGGTTCAAATTAGAAAATAAAAGTTTGAATTCGTCCAATTTATGACATGAAACATCTGGAAATCCATACATAAACATAAGTTTCACCTGATCTAACTTGAATGATTGTCTAAAGAAGTGCCTTTCTAAAAAAACATCTTGTTTTTGTCTAATATAACATTTCAGTATTTATTACTTTTACGAATTGGTGTTTCCTCTCCCCATGATGGCTTTTTTTGTGTTCCTCTCTGGTCTCAGCAGGATTATGTAACATTTGGGTCCAAACAGTGCCACCAACAGGCCAAAACTGGAGGCTAGAATGGCAAATATTTCCACTGCATCTGCATATTTTCCTGGTGAGTTGACATAAGCAGGGACAAAGGCCACCCACACAGCACAGAAAATAAGCATACTGAAAGTGATGAGTTTGGCCTCATTGAAGTTGTCAGGAAGATTCCTTGCCAGAAATGCAAGCAGGAAGCTGAGGATTGCCAGAAAGCCAATGTAACCCAATAAGACAACAAAGCCAATGGTGGACCCAACAACACATTCATACACTATCTTGTCATTATAGTATTTGGTGTTCTTATGTGGAGATGGTGAGGAGATGACAATCCAGACAGTGCAAATTACTGCCTGAATAAAAGTAAGAACCAGGACTGTCCCTCTCTGTTGCATGGCACCAAACCACTTGAGAACAGCTCCACCTCCTGGCTTGGAGGCCTTGAACACAGCAAGAACCACCATAGTTTTCACCAGAATACATGAGACACAAAGCACAAAGATTATGCCAAATGCTGCATGTCTGAACTTGCACGTCCATAATCTGGGGTGGCCGATAAACAGAAGTGAACACAGGAAAATAGTTTAAGTGACACTAGGAG